TCAGAACAGCTTCCCAGTAACTACCCTCTGATACGTGTCTTTGATTCCCGAGGGATAGATTTCCATTCACATTGTTTGTAACTGCTTCTGCTTTAGCACTGTCATACAAATAAAAATAAATGAAGGTGCAATTAAAATTACATACTGTCACACACTGATTTGCTTTGCAGTGGAAAGCAGAGCTCCAGGCATCAGTTTTTCCTCAGGGGCACAACAACAGTATAATTTAGCATTAAAATGCCATTTTGTCACTGGAGTCTTTCCAAGTTTTATTTCTTGTAACCATCATGCTCTGTGTAGTCCTGCTTCATCTCTCCAATGTTTCTGGTACTGTAACTCAAAACTGCTGCCCTTTGCAGACTCACAGAATCATTGAGGTTTGAAGAGACCTTCAAGATCATCTAGTCAAACTGTCAATCCAGCACCACAGTAGTCACCCCTAAACCACTTTCTTTAAAAGCAAACAAGACAGGTTTTGAGAACAGGATGGAACCAGATCTTATGTGCTCATTCCTCACTCTGTTTTGTCCTCTTCCTCTGCCTTTCCTCTTCCTCCTCATTTGGAAGATCTGCAGAAATCATGCCTCTTCTCAACCACCAGATCTGTGCTACTATGAATTTTTTCTTTCTTTGCAACTTTTTTTTCTACTTGTCCAGTAACTGCTGTCTGCCAGTAACAGACATTTTCTTCTCCTTTGAGTACACAGGAGCTTTCAGGGACAGTCAGAAGGCTCTCCTGCATCTCCAAAGAAGTTCCTGTTTATGCCTGTGTTCCTCTGAACAGGAATCCAGCATACCTATCTGAAGAAAAGTCTTTATTTAAACACTAGAGTAGCAAGAAAATACATGTCTGCATTTTGAGAGTCCAGCCATTTTCCATTTGTAAGCAGTTCTTCCCTTCAGATAAGACAGTTTCAGCTCTCTTCTTCTCAGTGAGATTATCAAGGGGTTGAGTGGCATTTGAGGATTACCTGGGCTTTCTGTATGAGGCTGAATTTTACTCTTTGTGTTGATCTTTCAAAATAATCAAGAAACTATATTCCTTACCTCTGTGTTAAAAACATGGGCAGAATTTCATAAGGGTTTCATTTTCTGAGGACTGTGTGCTCCCCATGGGTAAAAGAGAGAGTCCAGGAGGTGACAGAAGTGAATTGTTGAATGGTAGTTTACCATTTGCTTCCTTTTGCAGTACCACTTCAGGATCCAGAATTCCTGAAAGTTATTGTATTTGGCACTTCTTTTGAGTGGTACAATTCTAGCAATAATATGAGTTTAGGAAACTAATGGCTTTCATTAACAAATATGTAGAAATATTTCTGGTCTTAATCTGGAATTAATTTATGGCATCATGAACAAAAAAGCAAAAATACTATTAATAAGACTAAACCAATGATTTTGATAATTTATTTGAGACACTTATTAAATTTTTGTTTCTGTCTATTTTTAGGACATGTTAGAAGAAATACTGACTTCTGTATCTTGGTCATAGTACTAAAATGACCTTGAACAATTGTACTGCAAAATTGCAGATTTCTTTCATTATGCGTAAAATAGTCAAAAACCGAGTTTTCTGGATGATGATAAAACACAAGTTAGATTTTTATGAGATGTGAACAAACAAGCTAAATGCATGATTGAACAGTTTATCAGCTATGCAGTAACCACATATCCCCATTAGTAAGTAAACTGTTAGAAAAGCAGGGATGCCCTGAGACCTGATGTTGTTTTGATAAAGACAAAAAGCAAGCTGTGAGAATACTAGCTTTGCTAAAATGTCCCTGGTGATTTTAGTATATTGTTATTGGACTTTCAACTCTTAATTGCCTTTTAACTGAAGACACATGTTCACAGAATGTTTTCTGCCACAAACTGGAAAAGCAAGCATGTCCAGTAACCTACCTGTTCAGTGATCAGTTCTAAGAATAACTGCATCCCATATCCCAGGTGGCTTTTGGCAGTGTTGAATATAAGAGGTGTATCTGATCATTCCAGTGGCCCAGTTTTATAAATGATATGGCCAAAGTAGCTGAGCAATCTCAATTCTAGGCACCATGCTGTCTTTAAAAGTATTGAAACCTTCCCTTAAATAATAAGGAAATGGGTACTACTCAAAAGAAATAATGAGGTCCAATTCTATGGACCTACTATGACATGATGTACCTGACGTTCCTGATCAGCTACAGCCCCAAGGGCCTCTGCTTAAGGATAGCTAGGATGCCCAAGTAAAAACTGCCTCTGAGCAGCAGTGCATGTCAAAACCATCACTAAACAGTGCAAAATTCATTTGGTTAACTGAAATGAACTTTATAAATAATGAAATTGTGTTTGTATAAATAACCATAGGGCAAGCACAAAGTCAGTTTTAAGTGCTGCACAGTCCTTGTATTGGTCTTTGATGCTGCAGTGAATTTTACTCTGAGCATTTAAGGGATCAGATTACATGTGTAATCCAGAAAGTGAGTTTTGAATCTGCAGTCCTTTGAATCATGTCCAGAAATCTGAAAATCCCACTGTTTCCCATTTGTGTTGCACTGTAACAGCTGAGCTGGGCAAATGGCAGGCTCAAAATCCAGCACTTTTTCTCCCCATTTCTGATCATCACAGAATCACAGATTGACAGTATCAGTTGGTTGGAAGGGACCACAATGAGTCATCTGGTCCAACCTCCCTACTTGAGCAGGGCCATCCTAGAGCATATGGCACAGGGTTGTGTCCAAATGGTTCTTGAATACCTCACTGGAGGTATTCAAGAGGTACATCTCTGGGCAATCTGTTCCAGTGGTCAGTGACTCGCACAGCAAACAAGTTCTTCCTTGTATTCAGGTGGAACTTCCTGTGCATCAGTTTTTGCATGTTACCTCTTGTTTTATTGGTTTCCACCACTGAGAAGAGTCTGGCTCCATCATCTTGGCACCTCCTGTTCATGTACTTCTATACATTAATGACATCTCCTCTCAGTTGTCTCAAGACGGAACAGGCTCAACTCCCTCAGCCTCTCCTCATAAGTGAGGTGCTCCAGTCCCTTGATCATCTTCATTGTTCTCTGCTGGACTCGCCCCAGGAGCTCCATGTCCCTCTTGTACTGAGGAGCCCAGAACTAGACACAGTGCTCCAGGTGTGGCCTCACAAGGGCTGAGTAGAGAGGCAGGATCACCTCCCTCGACCTGCTGGCAATACTCTTCTTAATGCATCACAGGATTCCATTGACATTCTTAGCCACAAGGGCACATCGTTGATTCATGGACAGCTTGTTGTCTGCCAGGTCCTTCTTCATAGAGCTACTTTTCAGTGGGTCAGTGCCCAACCTGTACTGCTGCTTAGGGTTATTCCTGCACTTGCCTTTGCTAAATCTCAGTTGGTTCTGCTCTGCCCATCTCTCCAACCTGTCTACATCCCTCTGAAGGGCAGCACAGCCCTCTGAGGTATCAGCCACTCCTCTCAGTTTTGTATCATCAGCAAACTTGCTGAGAAGACACTCTATCCCCTTGTCCAAGTCATCGATGAATAAGTTGAACAAAACTGGGCCCAGTATAGAAGCCTGGGGGACACCACTAGTGACAGCCTTCAAACTAGACTCTGTGCTAGTCCAGCTAGTCTGTGCCAGCTGACCATTTGGGTCAGAATGTGCTCTTAATAGGCTAGGATGGATGGCACTGATATCAGTGACTGATTTTTGGCTGGATCTTTACTAATAATATCATGTTGATTCTATATCAGGGCAGATATGTGAAAACTAGCAGGTAGAATTTGGAACTGTATTCAGGGACAGAAATCTGTAATAGAAGGATTTTTTAATCTTCTCATTTCACAGACATATTCCTGGTCATAGGCAAAAAAATTGACATTTACCCAAAATTGTAACATTACCTGGTTCTTGTAGATACTCATAGTCATACCCCAGCTCTCTAGAGGATTTAAAAAATTCTCCATTTCTGTAAAGAGGGATGAAGGGGACCATGTAATTTTCTCGATTGTGCCCAATTGGTGCATTGGCTGCTGGATAAACTTCTAGCATGGGCCTATGTCTTCTTAACCATTGCTCAAAAATGCTGTGGAAGGAAAAGTATGTCAGTTAGTGGTAGATATTAGCAGAAATTTTCTTCTTGAAGATTAAAAAAAAGTGTTGATTTTTTTTTTTAAATCCTGGGGACAGAGTGTTATGCAATATCTTGTGCTTATGTGTATAATGCTTTACAAATTATCTGGGGTTATTCACTTCAGTGCTGAGTTCCTATGCAAGCTTACAAAAAGCACAGGCTTGCAGTGCTGCAGAGAGGCTGAGTATGCTTTTAAATTCCATAAATGTAGATCCTTCTCTTGTTGTGACTTGACTGCAATTTCTGCTTAGCATTTCATATGGTTGTGAGGGATAGAGAAAAGTGGATTAAAGACCTCAGTCCTTCCTCCTCACTCTCAGAAACATTTATAGCTGGTTGTGAATGGTCTTGTTTCCAGCTCCTCTGGCCTATTCCCCTTCCTCTAATTTCATACCAAGGGTCTTCACACCTGCATTAAAGTATGGTTACACCATGGCTGGTTTGACATCACCAAGAGAGTGGAAACATCTGAGGAAGAAGTCATAAGCTATGTGAGTCCAAAAACATGAGAAAGCATGTCAGCTGTCAGTAAAACGTCTTTCTCCAGCCATAGCTTCCTCACTGACCTTAGTATTTGCACTGTTGTTTTACATATTCTCACACCTCTCTCCCAGCTGCTCTTGTGCAGCTCAGTACCCTCATCTTAAACATGTTATCCCAGAGGTACTACCAATGTCACCAATGGACTCAGCTTTGGACATCAGCAGGTCTGTCTTGCAGCCAGCTGGAACAAGCTCCATCCAATATGAGGACAACTTCTGTAGACCCTCCACTACCTAAACCTTGCCATGTAAACCCAATACAAGCTGTTACCCACACCTCCAGCCTCAGCTGCTCCTTTCCATTTTTCTCTTCCAAAGTTTCTCCTATTAGCTGTCTGTCAGGGCGGGTCTGTATGTTAAAACTTGCAGGCAGAAAGCTTAAAAGCTGAAGTATGGGAAGAGTTTGTATTGACATTTTCAAGTCAACTACTGGATGTGTTTGCAAAGCAAAATTAAGAACTTTCCAAAACATTCTCAGTTCTCCCTTTTTATCTGAGCTTTTTCTGCTCAACTCTTCACTTTCTTTCAATTCTCAACCATTTTCCCTGGTATTTTGTGTTTATTCACCTGGATGTGCCAGGTTGGAACAGGGAAGGTTGCAAGTTGCTGCAGGGCAAGCAGATTTGGGTATCTTCTGCATGAAGAAAGAGAACCCCATGCTCAATCAGAAGATACTGCTAGTAGGCTATTATCAGCATTGAGCTCAGGGAGAGGTCTCTGGATTCATTTATCAGTTATGTGGGATGGAAATGGTCTAAGAAATCTGTAAACTGTACTTTAATTGAGATCTTGACTCAACAGTTACTCCTCCTCAACACTGACCACTGACTGGAAGACACAGATTTCCCTCCCCTTTTAATTAATAACCAACTGTTCAGGGACTCAAATTATCTCAGAGACACAGACCCTAAATGCAATTGCTCAGGAGTATCAGGATCTCTGCAGATTATCCAGGGATTCTGCCAATAGATTTTTACCTCTTGGTTTTGTGCAGAAATGTTGAGGAAACACTCTGCTTACCCCGCCAAATTAAAGCCTTCTTACACTCATCAAAATAGGTAGGGGGAAAATCGTGGTTCATTTTTTTAGGATCAAACAAATGTAATAGATGGAAACATCACTGTGTTCATACACCTTGTCAACCCTTAACAATGCAGGTATTACTTTTGATTAAAATCTTAATTTGTGGCTCTCTTCATCAGTTAATTTCATCAACCCTGTCCAGAAAAACTCTTATCTGAATAATAATATATAGATGAAGTTTTCAGATGACTAAATTTAAACAATATCAAGGCTTCAGCTGCAGTTATCGCAAGGAAGTTTGAACAGAAACTCTGTCATCTTTGGAGAACAGCATAAAGAAATTCAGTAATCATTATAAAAAGACATAGAATATAAAGGAATGATTTAGCTTGGGGAGGGATGGAGTGTGGGGGGGTGTTGTACTCCAATTCTTTCCCTGCCTGGCTTTTACTCGTGCCTTGGGTAAGGCATCCTATCAGTGCCTTATTTTACCAGCAGTTGTAGATGGGAGCTGAGGTACTTCCTGGGGCCTGATTTTTAGAAAAAGCTGAGCAGTCACATTCTGAAAATCTGGAGAGCTGGTGAGCACAAGGTTCAGAGCTAGAAGTCGTCATTCGCCTGAAATAGCTTTGCATGACATGCCCTGAAATGCGACATCTTTTCTGGATGATTTAAGTGTTGCTGTTGCATAAGCACTTTCAATAAGAATCCTTAGGCCAGTAATCTTTCAAGCAGGATGCAAATGCAAAGCATTTCCATGGAAATGAACATATGGACTTTTGGATTCCTTCATTTGCAGTGTGGTTCCCACATTAAGTATCAAGCTTTTCTTAGCAGTAGCAGGAGCATTGAATTGTCTGCCCTTGCAGCTGATCTTTAGATTTAGATGTGATCGTATGCCTCTAATTACTGATCTGATGAGTCGTGCTGATGCACAAGATATGTTCCACAATTCATTGAGCTGTTTGGGAACAGTTCTTTCCATTAGCCATTATAAAATCATATAATCTTGGCTGAAATCTGTTTCATCTAACATATCTGTATGCCACTGTAGAAATCACAGAAACATGCTTCAAGGCTTTAAGAGCCACATTTTCCTTTACTGCTCTTAGAGCAGCTAGTCCTGTGCATTTATCTTGTAGCTGGTTTTGTTGCAAGTTTTTTGACACTTTGAAAGATTAGGATCATATTCTGCTTGCTAATAAAGTGATTGGGTGAAGTTGCATTTGTTATTTCCACTGAAAGGCTTGTTCCCAGCTTGTTCAGTAAGATGGACTCAAACCACTTCTTTTTATTGGCAAGATAATGCATGATGCTCTGTATTTTCATGAGGATGTTCATGTTTTTTTTCTTTTGCCTGAGAAAACTGTCAGATTTAGTATATCGGTAGTAATTTTTTACATCTTCATCTCTTTGTATTTCTCCTTTTAAGGGGAGCACTGCCATTTCCCTGCCTTACTCATATTTTGTAAGTAAAGTTACAAAAGAGGAACCTTACCCTTGCTTTTCACGCAGTTTCCCAACTTAGTGTAAAAAGAAAACTCCCAATTACATCCAGCTGGGGAGAAAAATCCATGAAGAGGGCACAACTTAAGCTATATCTCTGTTGGTGAAGTACAAATAGTTCTTGTGGGCACCATAAGCCATTTAATATCAGAGAGTTACATTTTATGATTCCCCAGCCAAGATTGTTAAGTCCCTTCATACATTTTTAAAGAAAACTGAAATCCTGAAGTAGCCTATGGCTTTTGCTATCATTCAGGTAGTGACATTGGCACAGTGCTCCTATCCTTCAGTCTTAACTGAAAAGATCTGGGCTCAAAAAAATTGTATATCTGGAGAAAATAATCACACTATGTTTTGTTTCAGAGTACTATGACCACTGGAAAGCACATTGTAGGATACCTCTTTTCCTCAAATAAGGTGCTTTCTTCAACCCTGGCTACATTTAAGGCAGTTAGCATCAAGTGTTTTCTCTGTCATGCAGCGCTATCCTTTCCTGTAGGCAAAGAGAACACATCTGAACAGCTACAATGGATCACTGACAATTCTTCCATGTGCCTTGGTCTACAGAGACAGTTGTGTTATCCAATAACAAGCATGTGGTTTCCAAGACAGAGAGAAGTCAGTGCTTCCATCATCAGATGTTGATCTACTTACAGCTGACAGAAGTTTTCTTCTCTTCCCTTAAAAGCAACCATGTAAGTTGCTATCTCCTGCTAGTGTCCTGAAAATGTGTTTTTGTTTCCTATTCTTTTCTCAGTAGCTTGGAAGAGCTTAGGGCTGCAGAACTAAAGCTACATGCTGAGAGACAAAATGCTCCTTTGTGGAGTGATAAAGTTTCCGGTAGAAAAGCCAGGTTTGTGACAGAGCAGCAGACTTGAACTCCCTAGAATTGCTGGTTGTCTTGGCAAACCACAGCTCTTATGTTCTCTTCATATTAAGCTCTGCATCCTTTGCTGTACCTGATTGCCTAACAAAGTAAGACAATGAATTAAAGAACATCTTAAAGGCTATTTTATTCAATGTTGCCTCCCTTTCTTGACATAATTTGACTAATCAGATCAGGGCTCTGGAATATCCAATCTCCATGCTACTTCTGTGCAGAAAAAGGTACTGGACAGAAATCCAGTGTGAGAGAGAGAAATCTGTCTGGCTCCTACAGAAGTCTGGTTGATTACTTTCTTACTCGGCATGTAGACAAAGAGAGCAAACAGATAAGTAGCTATTTGTATAGATGGAAGTGATATTTTCTAGAGACAGAGTCTTTTTTAGCATTGCAATTCCAGCTAGACCGGCATCATCTGGGAGATGTTGGCAGTGCTAAAGGCAGCAGATAGGGTGTTAGCATGGTGGGGAAGACAGGACTGGATAAAGGAAAGAAGAGGAGCTAATCAAAAGTTGTTGGGATTTTTATTTGGAGAATGGAAATGGAGAGAATCCAGCCTGGAATTAGCAGAAATAAACCATAAATACTCCAGAGTGACAGTTCTACCTAGAAGGACCATGGGCAATCAAAACTTAAGAAATAGAAACTTAAAATACGGAAATTAATTAAATGAAATAGTGATTAGTCTCCTGATAGCCCCAATGCCCTTTGTATTTCTTCAGCAGCAAGGAAAAGTGGCTTGAAAGGGGTAGCTTTTATTTAAAAGCCTAAGGCAGCTAAGAAAATAATTCTGTCTAGATTAGTGCAAAGACCATTTGCATCTGTAAGGCTTCTTCCTTCTCTTGAAGAAATCAAAGTGCCCAATCTGAGTGTCCCAAATAAGAGACTGGGGAACTGAAAGGGGTGGGAGAATGATTTGAAATTTGAAAGATGCCCTGTCTCATATTTAGCACTCAAAGAGGCTCCAGCTCTCTAAACTGCAGTTCCAAAGTAGGAAT